GATGCCAGCACAGGGAAGACTGAGCCCATCTGGCTGCAAAGGAAGTCGGGATGAACCTCTCCAACTCAGCCTCTGCTCCGTCCCAGGCTCCCACTTTGGGGTTTCAAAGAGCTGTATCCTGTGGGGATTCTGGGCGGCTTCCCCCCCACTCCTTGTTCCACCAGTCGTAAATAAAATAGGGTGACCCCTGGACAGTCAGCGGGACAGAGGACAGAGGACTCTCAAGATGGTCATGGAGAGAAAGGATAGGCCTCAGCCCAAGCTCAGCCAGAACTCGGAGAGCAACACAATGGCTGAGATCTGTCCCTGGTGACCATGGGGCCCGCAGCCTCCACTGAGCGACCAGCACAGGCCTCTACCCCCAGAGGCAAGAGAAGTTCACTTTGCACACCCCCAGAGGCAAGAGAAATTCACCCTTCATATCTCCAGAAAGGAAAATACCTTTTTGGACTACTGGGTCATTGAATATCCATCCTTCGAAGCTGTAGTCAAGCTTGACACAATGAGATACAGAGAGGGTCCCTCACCAGCCATAACTCAACTCACCCAAAGCATGGTGGGGATGCATCCCTGTGACAAAGTCCTGGGGCAGCCCAGCCTCCTGCTGTGAAGGGAAGGGTCAGATGAAGCTGCGAGAGGACAGGCCGACCAACTGTGCACCCTAACCTAAAGCCATGGGCATGACAGGACAGAGGCCCCAGAGCCATGCTTGCCCAACCTACAGTGTATGTTTATGATTGTGTGTGTCTGCTTGTGTGTGTGTGTGTGTGTGCGTCTGTGTTTGTGCATAGTATGTTTAGAGGTTGGGTGAGAGAATCACTGCTAAAGAGGCAAAGGCCTCAGCAATTCCCAGGACCCCCTTCCTGTTACCTTACACTAAAATTAACTCCAGATAGATTAGGGATTTAAAGATAAAACCTAACACCAAAAAAACACTAGAAGAAAACGCAGGCAAAACCATTCAGGACATAGGCATAGGCAAGGACTTCATGACTAAAACACCAAAAGCAATGGCAATAAAAGCCAAAATAGACAAATGGGATCTAATTAAAATTCAGAGCTTCTGCACAGCAAAACAAACCATCACTAGAGCGAACCAGCAACCAGCAGAATGGGAAACATTTTTTTGCAATCTACCCATCTGACAAAGGGCTAATATCCAGAATCTACAAAGAACTAAAACAGATATACAAGAAAAACACAAACAACCCCATTGAAAAGTGGGAGAAGCTTAACAGAGTGTCAGATATAGCATGTCAACCTGAAGGGTTTTTTTTTTTTGTTTGTTTGTTTGTTTTTTTTTTTTTTTTTTGAGATGGACTCTTGCCAGTGTTGCCTAGGCTGGAGTGCAGTGACACGATCTCAGTTCACTGCAACCTCCACCTCCTAGGTTCAACCTCCTGCCTCCACCTCCTGCGTAGCTGGGATTACAGGCTACATGCCACCTGTAATCCCAGCTGGCCAATTTTTGTATTTTTAATACAGACGGGGGTTTCACCGTGTTGGCCAGGCTGGTCTCAAACTCCTGACCTCGTGATCCACCCACCTCAGCCTCCCAAAGTGTTGGGATTACAGGCGTGAGCCACTGTGCCCTGCCTCAACCTAAAATTTTTACATAAGAGATCTGTTAGTCCGCCCAGTGGCTGACACGAGCAGCATCTTTAACACAATTGTTTGTTCAAATGTACTGTTGTTCCTTTTAGTTACACTTCCAGACTCACTTGCTTTCAGTCCTTGTTCTAATTCAACCCAGCCATCCAAGGCCAGATAATGAAGTTACTCCTTACTACCTGGACAGAAAGGAGCCTGTGCAGTGTCTGGCACCGATTGTTGCATGTAAATAAATACATCGAGTATTATAGAGACTCAGTTGCAAATGTGACAAACATGCTACTTGGTTAAAACGGATGGACTCTTCTGGCTCTTTCTTTGATCTATTCTACTTTTGTTGGTTTGTATCTCGACTAAGGTGCATACTCCAAGCTTTTGGTGTTTTTCTTCTGATGGTCATACTAGTAGCCTCCCCGATGTGATACATTTTACAAAAATGTTCAAGTGTTCATGTGCAGCCATCATAAAACACCAAAGGGTCTCTCTTTGGCTGAAATTACAAAAACTCAAAGAAATGTGTGATCAGAAAGACATCGTAACCTATGAATAATGGAAGCCTGAAATGGTGGTTAATGAGAGTAACGCTAACACTTTAAGTTTCCCTCACGCCTTGAGAGCAGCATAGAGACTCCAAAATAGTTCCACTCATGCTAAATGTGACATACTCCAACTGAAATTTTTACTTTTTTATTTTTATTTTTTGAGACGGAGTCTCGCTGTCGCCAGGCTGGAGTGCAGTGGCGCGATCTCGGCTCACTGCAACCTCCACCTCCCGGGTTCAAGCAATTCTCCTGCCTCAGCCTCCCGAGTAGCTGGGACAACAGGCGCACGCCACCATGCCCAGCTAATTTTTTTTGTATTTTTAGTAGAGACGGGGTTTCACCATGTTGGCCAGGATGGTCTCGATCTCTTGACCTCGTGATCCGCCCTCCTTGGCTCCCAAAGTGCTGGGATTACAGGCGTGAGCCACTGTGCCCAGTCCCATCTGAAATTTTAAAGAAGCAGGTAGATCCCAAAACAGATCTTTTTTTTTTTTTTTTTTTTTCTGGAAAAAACAGGATATTTTAGTCTACCTGAGACAGCGTAATAAAAAAAAAGTAACCTCTGCTTTAACTTTTACAGAAAAGTGACCAGAAGTACCCTAAAGTTAATCAATCAATTTATTTCTATGGCTTTGTTAACTGGTTCTTATTTCACAAAACCCATTGTTCTCGTATTGCATTGCCCAGGGGAGCTATCACTGTATTTGTAGAGTGAAAGCTGTCTCAAATCATGAATTACAAATAAAATATTTAACCACATTAGTTGTAATTTTGTCTTTTGATGCATATTCACAGTGAGCAATGGTCAGTGGAGTCTATCAGCTTGCATCTCTCATTCTGACCCCCTTCCTTACTTTTCACTTACAAGCACCTTATGATTCACTGTCCCCACCCAGATAATGCAGAATAACCTCCCATCTCAAGATCCTTACCTTTATCACCTCTGCACAGGGATTTTTCAGAAAAAAATGCATGAGTTCCAGGAGTTAGGATTTAGATATTTTAAGAGGCCATTATTCTGCCTTACATAGGTAACTTTCCTAAGTGTCACCCACGACAAAACCTTGCTTCCCTTCCTTCTGTGTCTCCCTTTCCTGTCTGTGTGCAAACATCAAGGTGAAACGTACTAGGTCTACTCCGAAGTGGCTGGATGACCCGGGACCACTGATTTGACCTCCCTCAGCCTCTTTTCTCATCTGCAGCACAAGGGTGACTCTTACCGCATCAGAGAATGACAGTGGACGATTAAGTTAAAATGTGTAAGGCCTTAGTCACAGAGCCTGGTACCTGATGAGCCCTTGGTCAACATTCCTTTCAGATCTTTCCCTTCACCATCCCATGTCCCTTGCCGTCACCCATCTTCTCCTTTGACTCCTTTATCTTCAGAACCTTACTGAGTCTTACCTGCCATTTAGCCAAAAAGTTACCCTCCCCATTCTCTCATGACTCTGCTGGAATGTTTTTGTGATGGAGTCTAGCTATCCACCCAAGGCAGTGGATATTATTTCTAGGAAGAGGTCTGTTTAAAAAAAGTCCTTTTGATGTTCACCTAAAATTTACGCATGCTTCCTCTTAATTGACACACACCAGTCCCAATTCTGCCCTGTTAATTCATTCACACACTTTCTTATTTCACACGTCTTCCTTCTTTCTGTTAACACCTTACAAATTAGGATAGTACACAGATGAAAATAATGGCCTGGGCCACAAGGGGGGATTGCGTTAGCAAAATGAATGCTTTCCTTTAAGAAGAAGATGAATGCTTTAGTTCGGTGGGATGAATGCTATGTGCAAGGCAGCTCTAAAGCCCGTTTCTAGGCTTGGCTTACCCCAAAGCCATCTCACTCTAGGACACATTGTTAGATACCCAGGAGACTACAGTTGTCGCAGAAGCCACACCTACTCTATGTATTCTAGCTGTGAAGTAAAGGTATTGTCACAGCACGTCCTGCATTCCAATCATTTCGCTCCTAGAAATTAAGCTTCCCCCAACCAGCTTCATCTCCGGTAGACCTACCAGGGCCCTTGCTGAAAAATACCTTCCTACCCAGGGGAGCATCATACACTGGGGTCTGTTGTGGGGGCCAAGGGAGGGACACTGGGGGGTGGGAAGATCAGGGAGGGATAACATGGGGAGAAATGCCAGATGTGGGTGACGGGGGGATGGAGGCAGCAAACCACATTGCCATGTGTGTACCTATGCAACAATCCTGCATGATCTGCACATGTACCCCAGAACCTAAAGTACAATTAAAAAAAAAAAAAAAAGGAAAGAAAAATACCTCCCTACGCAGGATGCCCAGGGTGGCACTTTTGCCTATTCCCATAATTATAATGTCTCACGCTGATGCAGCACTCACTATGCACCAGGCACAATCCCTAAGAGCTTTCCAGCTACATATAGTCCCCACAAAATGTCCTGAGTGTCACCATTCTCATATTTACAGATTTTTTAAAAAACTGAGGCACACAAATGAAGTACCCAGTACAATCCAACTCCATAATTCAACCTCATCCATCACTGCATTTGAAAAGAGGACAGCTTAAAATTTCCAAGGCCGCCTAATGGACATCTGCTTCCAGATGATTTTTTGCCCTCTCTATGTTCACAGTTTGACAAATGGCCAGCATTTTGTTTTCTGTCTCACCCTTTGCTTATATGTCTGCTCCTTAATACCACACTCATAACTGCACAGGCTGGCATAAAAGCTGGCTTTTTTTTTTTGAGACGGAGTCTTGCTTTGTCTCCATGCTGGAGTGCAGTGGCACAATCTCAGCTCGCTGCAACCTCTGACTCCCTGGTTCAAACGATTCTCCTGCCTCAGCCTCCTGAGTAGCCACCATGCCCAGCTAATTTTTGTATTTTGAGTACAGATGGGGTTTCACCATGTTGGCCAGGATGGTCTCGATATCCTGACTTTGTGATCCGCCTGCCACTGGGATTACAGGTGTGAGCCACCGCGCCCAGCCAAAAGCTGGCTTTTATAAACCTCTTTTGGGATAAAGCAGGGCCAGGTTAAGAGTCTCACAAAAAAGTCAATTTCACTCAATTCTCAACTGTACATATGGCCATTATCTGGCCGTAAGTGGGTGCACCAGGGACAGTTGTCGTGAGAAGAAGGTAGGAGGAGGGCGAGTTTCTGGATGGTCACAAAGAGAAGGAGATTCCAAATCCAGAAAAAGTGATAAAATGCAGAGTGGATGGGCTTTGGGCAATGACAGCCCCATCTGCCTCTTTCCATGACTGTTGGCCTCTGACTTTCTTTTCAACCTGACCCTCCTGGTCTGGCTTTCTTAGACCAATGCTAACAAACTGGGAGCTAGGGTCAGGCCGGAGCACACAGCACCGAGTGGTGGGGGTGGAAAAGGAAGGAAAAAGAGAAGAGTGCTTGGCTCATGAAGTGAGCAACTCACCAAGGTACACATCTCCTTGGCAAAAAACAAAAACAAAAACAAAAACAAAAAAAGGACGATTATGTAGAATTTATGGTGGTTATCCAAAATGAGCAACTGAGGCAAGGATCTTGACCAACTGACATTTATCGAGCCAGAGCTCAAGGTTGCGTTCTGGGGAAACATGAGTCACAGAAAACCTCTGTGGCTTCTGTTCTCTTTGAAGAGGATTCAGGGGCTCAGTATTTATATATTTCCTTATAAGGGAAAAGGCAGGTCAGAAATATAGGGTCTTTGTTCCATACTTGAGAAGACAACTATCTGAATGAAACTTAAAAGGTTTTAGTTTTAGAAGCTAAATTTTGATTGCACACCTGCATTTACAGTTGACATGTCCTTCTTTTATGGAACAATATACGTCTTGAAAGGTTTTGAGGCCAGCAAAGGAAAATTTGTTTGGGCAGTTTTCTAAAGATGTCTGAGACCCTTTGCTGCTTATCCTGTTCTCTTTCTCTCTTTCTGTCTTTCTCTCTCTTTCTTTCTGACACAGTTTTCTTGTTCTGTCATCCAGGCTAAGTATAATAGCATGATCACAGCTAACTTCAGCCCTGAACTTCTGGACTGAAGCAGTCCTCCCACCTCAATCTCCCAAATACCTGAGACTACAGGCATGCAACACTGCACTTGGATAACTTTTTTTATTTTTTGTAGAGACGTGGTCTCACTTTGTTGCTCAGGCTGGTCTTGCAATTCTGGATTCAAGCAATCCTTCTGCCTTGGCCTCTCAAAGTTCTGGAATTCTACAGATTTCAGAGAAAGTATTATAGAAGACATGACTTTGTGGATGTATGTTTCATCTGATCCTCTGTCACTAGGGAGGCTCATTTCTAGGAAGTCATATCCCAGGGGAAAAGGAGTGAAGTCACATCAGATAAAACCAAGCCAGATTGAAGCAAAAAAAGGAGAGTATACTGATGCAACATAATTATATGTTCCATAAAGCATGCTGACTCACCTTTAATGTCTGGAGAAGTCTGTAGATTCATCTTTCTAGAGTCTCTGAAGCATCTTCCAATTGCACTGGCAATCTTACAGGTCTCCCTAAGTTATACTCTGAATCCAGTGTTCATAAAACAGTGTCCGTAAACACCTGTTGTGTAGTCCATACATCTGCAGGCACAGAGGTTGTTATATATAAGTTGCTATGATTTCTCCAAAAGTTTATGTAAGTTGTCTAGTTTCAGTTTGCAGGGCTTTAAGAAAAGCATAATTTTAAGACTCCAAAATAAAAAAAAAAATTCTGAAACCATTAGTTTTTATGCTTGTAGCCAGAAAAGAATTTAGGATTATGTCCAATCTGTAGGCAAATAATGAAACTCATAAACAATGAACAAGCCTAGAATATAATAACTGTTGTACAGTAGTTTTTTCTGAAGCACAATTTTTTCTCTCTCTGGTCTCCCATTTTTATAAAAGACAAGTAGAAGTAGGCCCACTGTATTTGCAAAATAAGTTTTTGTATTATACTTGGCCTAATGATTTGCATAAAGTGCAGCAAGAAAAGTGATTCACATAGAGAATCTTTTAAAATTGGCTTTGCTGGAAGTGTGTTCATAAGAAATCTTAGATTAGATTTGCAAAAGCCTCTCAGGGCTATGAAAGCCAAGGATTTATCTGTGCCTGTGGATACTTGTATAAAGAGGGTGAATCCCTCTTTTCATGAGGTCTCAAGATAACGTTGGGTTTCTGGGCCTATCAGCAAGTCACATTCTTTACTAACCACAGATCATGAACTTTTAAATAAAATGCATGGACATTTCTGAGCAGTCTTTCCAAGGGAATTTTTATCAGCTCTATTAAGCCAATATCAATCCTCAAATCATTCTGGGCATATCTGAAAATATGCCATTCCAGTCAAAGCCTTGGCAAAATAAGCAGTATCTCCAATTGTGTCCTGTTATAAAAGAAAATAGATCCTTATGAAACTGATGAAAATAACTATAGTGACATAAATTAAGAATACCCACTAATAGTTTCTTATTTTTAGAGAAATTGGGTATAGAGAAAGATAAATCTTTCCAATTCTGCTCACAAAATTACCCAATATGTTGTAAGCTAACAGGTTTCCAAAAATAAGCTTTTTTGACTCTGAAGAATGAAACATGAAAAGTGTCAAACACTGTTTTAAATATCATGAAAAATTATTTTAATCCTTTAATGGTTTAGCTCCATGTAAGTAACTCTTGTTGTGCTTGATGTTGGGTTAGCAATCCTCATGAATACATTTGTTTTTAGCTAGAGTCCTGGTTTTTTTGGTTTGTTTGGTTGGTTTGTTGTTGTTGTTGTTGTTTGGTCCAGTGGTATGATATCCAAAGTTATTAAAAACCATTTTTTATATTTTTATTTATTTTATTTTACGTATTTATTTGAGACAGTCTCCTCTGTCACCTAGGCTGGGGTGCAGTGGTACAGTCTTGGCTCACTGCAACCTCCAATACCTGGGTTCAAGCAATTCTCCTGCCTCAGCCTCCTGAGTAGCTGGCACAACAGGCAGGTGCCACTGCTCCTGGCGACTTTTTTTGTATTTTTAGTAGAGATGGGGTTTCACCATGTTGGCCAGGCTGGTTTTGACCTGCCGACCTTAAGTGATCCACCCATGTTGGCCTGCCAAAGTGCTGGGATTATAAGTATGAGCCACTGAACCTGGCCAAAATCCAATATTAAGAATTACTTAAGAGTCTTTTAAGAGTCTACTCCACAGATTTCCTTAGAGCAGAAACTAATTTTACACTGTACTTAAACTGTTTTGTGAGAATCAAAATGAAACAATAGTTGTCTGTAGATTAAAAAAATAACTCTAAGAATACCCATGGTTAAAGATTCAATTGCAATTGAAATTAGATTATTTATGTGACATACATTTTGACCAATCAATTATTAACAACATATACTAAGACATATCAGAATTTTAGAAATTTTATAAAATTTTCATACGTTAATAACATATTCATACAAATATAATCCGAAGAAAGGTAAAAATGATTTTATACTATGCTTAACATACCAAAAGAGTGTAATGTGTCTCTTTGGGACATTCAAAGGCCCTAATATTCAAATTATTAGGGTGAAATCAAAAAGACTGATTTCAAAATTTGAAATTTTGACTTTAGAAATATCATATATCAAAAGTTTAAGACACTTGGTCAAAATAGTATCCCAAGTCACTGTAAAATAATAGTCATTCGCTTAGACAAAATGATCATTCCACAATTTTAAAAAGTAAAATCAGAAGGGACGATCCAAGATGGCTGTTTAGGAGCAGCTCAGGATTGCAGCTCCCAGTGAAAGCGCAGAGGGTGAGTGGACGCCGCGTTTTTATTGCCCACAGACTAGGAAATTCCCGGGTGGAGGTGCTCCACGGTCGCCAGCGTGGCTGTGCCGGCCAGCGCCGCTGCTTTGCCCCGCGCGGCTGCTTTGTCGGTGCCCCAGAGCCGAGGTCCTCCATACAAAATACACTGGTCGGGGGGGGCCCTTTTGGCTGGCGATTGGAGCCACGGGAAGTCGCCCGTATGCTGGTTCAGAAAGGGGACTGAGCAGAGAACCAGGACAGTAGGTTCCAGGGCAAAAAAAACAAAACAAAAAAAAAGCGCCACAAACCTCAGTGCCACTGTTTAAGCCAGCGCAGTGAGTGGCCGCAGGGGAAAACAAACAGATGCCGGCGCCTCTTCAACAGGCGACTGGAACACCAACTTAAAAAAGGCTCTGAGGCAGGGAGTCAGGCAATCAGGCTCGGCTGGCCCCACCCCCACAAAAGAACAGCAACCAGAAACTCTGGATTGAGAGTTTCACAGCAAGCGCAGCTGAACCCAGGACGGTCCAGATCTGTGGGGGAGGGGCATCCGCCATTACCGAGGCAGCCCGCCGTTGCCAAGGCAACCCGCCACAGCAAAGAGACTCCGCCTCAACAGAGGCGGGCCACCATCGCCAAAGCACTTCTAACTACACCCATATAAACAGGACTGCAGGGAAGTTCATTCGGCAGCGGGGCGGAGCCCACAGCAGCTCAGCAAAGCTGCTATAGGCCGACAGTGACTAGGCTGCCTCCTTGCTGGGCTGGGCAGGTCTGAAGGAAAAAAAAAAAAAAAGAAGGCAGCAGCATAATGGAAACTCATAAATAAAGCCCTAAATCCCTGGAACAGAGCACCTGGGAACAAAAAGCAGTTTATGAGTTCTGCTGCAGCAGACCTAAAAGTACCTGCCCAGCAGCTCTGAATGAACAACAACAGAGCTCGCAGCTCACCATTTGAGCTCCTATAAAGAAGAGACCATCTCCTCAAGCAGCTCCCTGACCCCTATATATCCAAAAAGACACCTTATAAAAGAGAGATCAGATTGACACTAGGCGGGTATCCTTCTGGGACAAAGATAGCAGAAGAAGAAAACTGGTAACAACCCTTGCTGTTCAGCAGCTGCTGCAGGTGAACCCCAGGCAAGCAGGGCCTGGAGTGAACCTCAGCAGACCTACAGCAGAGGGGCCAGACTATCAGAAGAAAAACCAAGAAACAGAAATAACCTCATCATCAACAAACAGAACGTCAATCTGAAAGATTTGAGACCCAATCTGAAAGCCAGCAACTACAAAGTCGACAGGTGGATAAATCCTTAAAGATGGGAAGAAACCAGCGCAAAAAGGATGAAAACACCCAAAACCAGAACACCTCTCCTCCTAAAAGGGATCACAACTCCTCACCAGCAAGGGAACAAGGTTGGATGGAGAATGAGTGTGATGAAATGACAGAATCAGACTTCAGAAGGTGGGTAGTAAGAAACTTCTGTGAACTTAAAGAACATGTTCTAACCAAATGCAAAGAAACTAAGAACCTTGAAAAAAGATTGGACGAAATGCTAACGAGAATGGACAAAATAGAAAGGAATATAAGTGAATGGATGGAGCTGAAAAACGCAACACGAGAACTTCGTGAAGCATGCACAAGTATCAACAGCCGAATTGACCAAGCAGAAGAAAGGATATCAGAGGTCGAAGATCAACTCGATGAAATAAAACGGGAAGGCAAGACTGGAGAAAAAAGGGTAAAAAGGAATGAACAAAGTCTCCAAGAAATGTGGGACTACGTGAAAGACCTAAGCTACGTTTGATAGGTGTACCCGAATGCGACGAAGAGAATGAATCCAAGCTGGAAAATACTCTTCAGGATATTATCCAGGAAAACTTCCCCAACCTAGCAAGGCAGGCAAACATTCAAGTCCAGGAAATACAGAGAACACCACAAAGATATTCGTCAAGAAGAGCAACCCCAAGGCACATAATCGTCAGATTCACCAGGGTCGAAATGAAGGAGAAAATACTAAGGGCAGCCAGAGAGAAAGGTCGGGTTACCCATAAAGGGAAGCCCATCAGACTCCCAGCAGATCTCTCAGCAGAAACCCTACAAGCCAGAAGAGAATGGGGGCCAATATTCAACATCCTTAAAGAAAAGAACCTTCAACCCAGAATCTCCTATCCAGCCAAACTAAGCTTCATAAGTGAAGGAAAAATAAAATCCTTTGGGAACATGCAAGTACTCAGAGATTTCGTCACCACCAGGCCAGCTCTACAAGAGCTCCTGAAAGAGACTCTACACATATAAAGGAACAACAAGTACCAGCTCAACTAAAGGGCAAAACAGCCAGCTAGCACCAAAATGGCAGTATCAAATTCACACATAACAATATTAACCCTAAATGTAAATGGACTAAATGCCCCAATCAAAAGACACAGACTGGCACATTGGATAAAAAGACAAAACTCATCAGTGTGCTGTATCCAGGAAACCCATCTCACATGCAAGGATACACAAAGGCTCAAAATAAAGGGATGGAGGAAGATTTACCAAGCAAATGGAGAGCAAAAAAAAGCAGGAGTTGCAATTCTCATCTCTGATAAATTAGACTTTAAAGCAACAAAGATCATAAGAGTCAAAGAGGGACGTTACATAATGGTAAAAGGATCAATGCAACAAGAAGAGCTAACGATCCTAAATATATACGCACCCAATACAGGAGCACCCAGATACATAAGGCAAGTTCTGAATGACTTACAAAGAGACTTAGACTCCCACACAATAATAGTGGGAGACTTTAACACCCCATTGTCAACATTAGACAGATCAACCAGACAGAAAATTAACAAGGATATCCAGGACTTGAACTCAGACCTGGACCAAGCAAACCTAACAGACATTTACAGAACTCTCCACCCCAAATCCACAGAATATACAATACATTCTTCTCAGCACCACATCACACCTACTCTAAAATTGACCACATAATTGGGAGTAAATCACTCCTCAGCAAATGCAAAAGAATGGAAATCGTAACAAACAGTCTCTCAGACCACAGTGCAATCAAGTTAGAACTCAGAATTCAAAAACTAACTCAGAACCGCACAGCTTCATGGAAACTGAACAACTTGCTCTTGAATGTTGACTGGATAAACAATGAAATGAAGGCAGAAATAAAGATGTTCTTCGAAACCAATGAGAATGAAGACACAACATACCAGAATCTCTGACACATTTAAAGCAGTCTCTAGAGGAAAATATATAGCAATAAGTGCCCACATGAGAAGCAAGGAGAGATCAAAAATTGACACCCTATCGTCAAAACTGAAAGAGCTAGAGGAGCAAGATCCAAAAAACTCAAAGTCCAGCAGAAGACAAGAAATAGCTAAGATCAGAGCAGAACTGAAGGAGATAGAGACACAAAAAACCCTTCAAAAAATCAATAAATCCAGCAGCTGGTTTTTTGAAAAGATCAACAAAATAGACAGACCACTAGCCAGATTAATCAAAAAGAAAAGTGAGAATAACCAAATTGATGCAATAAAAAATGATAAAGGGGATATCACCACAGATTCCACAGAAATTCAAACCATCATCAGAGATTATTACAAACAACTCTATGCACACAAACTAATAAACCTGGAAGAAATGGATAAATTCCTGGACACTTGCCTCCTGCCAAGCCTAAACCAGGAAGAAGCCGAAACCCTAAACAGACCCATAACAAGGTCTGAAGTTGAGGCAGCAATTAAGAGCTTACCACCCAAAAAAAGCCCAGGTCCAGATGGGTTCACAGCTGAATTCTACCAGACATACAAAGAGGAGCTGGTACCATTTCTTCTGAAACTATTCCAAACAATACAAGAAGAGGGAATTCTTCCCAAATCATTTTATGACACCAACATCATCCTGATTACAAAACCCGGCAGAGACTCAACAAGAAAAGAAAACTTCAGGCCAATATCCATGATGAACATAGATGCAAAAATCTTCAATAAAAT